CATTGGAGATGCTGTAATGGAATAAAGTATTGAATTGAACTGTCTTTCGGTGAATGATAACTTGTACATTCTATGCTAAAATGATAAAAATGTATAATGATGTGTAAAAAAGTGGATGTGAAATGGAATAAAGTATTGAATTGAACTACCAGAGGATTAATTAATCCTAACTAATCCCTATTGTTGCATCGTTAATTAATCCCTTAACAAAGGAACTGGCATAGTGGGGGTAAATCGTGAAATCTTTCCGGAACAGGTGATATTATTTATACACTGGTGGCAAGAATCTGTTTCACAGTGGTAACTCTGCAATCTGATTAAAATACATATCTATGTTTCGTTTCGTTTCGTTTTTTTTACTTCCGATGGCCTCCAGTACACGAAGATCTGGTCCGTTGTAGTGGTAGGTCGCGTCATGGTCACACGAGCGGTTTTTGACCCTATGATGTCAGACATGTCAGACAAGTGAGTATTTGGAAATACAGCTTTTGCTTTGTCTTCGCTGCGAATGTCTGCCCACAGTTCCATGCACCGCACGCCAAGAACTCACCACAATAGATAATTTCATTGGCTAATCCCTCACATCAACCAGAACGCAGGTTATATAACAACTCTTCAAGATCCTTGTGTAGTGATGGCAACGGTACGTGCGCTTACATCGGACGTAGTAACATAGAATATTTACCGATGACGAGTTTGACACTCCACTTCTTTTACCATTGTTGACATTAGTTACGAAGAGCCGATGTTTTCATTTGACGCCCATCCGGTAGATTGTTAGTTCTTTAAATAAAGAACTGATCTTGAGATAAAACATAGAGTACCCAAACAAAACTATAAAGAAACCACTCCTTTCCGATCTCTACCCTCAAAACACAGGTTTTTTTTTTTTTAAAGAAAAGCTTATGCTGTTCCAAATATTTGTTCATTTGACATTGAGAATAGTATACCTACAGAGTCGTCTTAACGGATGGGCAAGCTGGGCAATTGCCCGGGGATAGGGCAGGGTGCCCATGCCAATCTTTGTAGCTTATGGCGCCACTTGCTGTACAGCATGTTTTTCTCATATATTTAAACAGTGATGTCGTTGGAAGTACCGCAATACATTAAATAAATATAGTTTTCATATTATCGACCATTTACATTTTCATTCATGTGAGTGGCTGTGTATATAGGGGTCCCAGTGCATTACTTTGCCTGGGGTGTTTGGGGGGGGGGGGGGGTATATCTCTATATCTAGGCTTGAATTAATGGCTATTCCACACAAATTATCCGGGTAGGAATAGAACCAGAGATTTGTAAATTGGGACAGTATATCCCTTATACCTACTACCAACATTTATAAGGATTCAACACTATTTTCAAGTAGAATTCTGCGATTAAAAACATACACAAAATACGTTTGAACTGATCAGCCATTACGAGTCTCGAACATGCGCAAACCGCATGTTTATTTCATCGCTAAATTCTACTTGAAAATGGTGTTTAATTATTAGAAATTTGTGTCAAATATAGTGAGAAAAGGCGAAGGTTCTAAAACAGCCTGAGAACAGAGGTGGGGAAGAGCGATATTTTACCGTATTTTCATATTGCAGAATTCTACTTGAAAATGGTGTTGAATCATTATAAATGTGTGTCAGCTGTGGCAAGAAATTATTCCTTTGGCGAATAAAGTAGAATCAAGGAAAAAATAGTAGGTAAGGATTCCAAAAAAGCCTTAGAACAGAGGTGGGGAAGAGCGGTATTTTCATATGGCAACTATATAGGGCCCGATAGGGACTGTCAGTGGACATCGTCCGCTCAGAGAAAGTTCCTAAAGGAACTACTTTATACCATGCTTTTGGATATTCTCATGAGAAAAAAAAACAAGTTATAAAGTTTATCTAGACAAGCAGTTAAAGCAGTTTGACCTTCCCCAATAGCTTTCTCTTTTCTCTTGTATGAGGATAGGTGGTCGAATGGTAGAGCGAGTGTGCTTTAAGCCATAAGGTATGTGGCGTCAAGTGGGGTGGTTTCGATTCCCAACCATGGTGGGTTTTCTACGAGCCCTCCGATTTCCACTACTACTAAAGACTCCTACGGACAACGATTTATTGAAATAAAATTGAACCACACGTTAGTCCCGAAATCACCCAGTAGAACTACTCTCTCTCTCTCTCTCTCTCTCTCTCTCTCTCTCTCAGTTTCATAGATATATTTTCTGTATAAATTATATAAATTGACAAACCCAAACGTAACCAAGACACAGCCATTTCAAACAATAAACACCAAAAGTATATAATAAAGCAAATGAATTGGCCAGAGGGCTATCGAATTCACTGACAGCATGAACAATACTAAAATTCTCAATAAACTTTCTTTTATGGAAGAATGACATCAAGTGCATCTTGTAATTTACCTTTAGATTCAATGGCCTATATGAATTAGTCTGCAATATTATAATTAATAGTTTCTACAAAGTTTTCTACTTGAAATGATGCAGGATAGTCGGATAGATTGAATTTAAAAAATAGTATAATGTCACATCTCGCGACCCCGAAACTGATCTATTTATCGTTGTAATCTTCGGGATAGAGCCACCGTGGCTCAATGAGTACCCGTGTTCGATCCCTGCATTGGCCGACAAAGTTCAACGGGATTTTTAGTGGTGCAGAACAGAGGGCTAACGTATAGTCGTTAGGAAGTCCACTGCATTAGCTTGAAATTACATCCGCTTACATCGACGCCTGAAGATTATCCAACTTGCACTTCATAAAGTTTCTTTATTGTTTTATTCTCCTTAATTACCATATAAATATTATTTTGAAACTCATATTAGTTATAAAAAAAAAATCAACGAATAGATTTCAGTATCTCTTTTACCCCTTTTTTTTTATAAAATATACACATCGTAACCCGTAGCCTAACCTACCCGCTTTTGCTGCAACGGGGTAGGCTATGGGTAAAAAGAGAAGCGTGCCCGTAATCAAGCCTAAACCTCAAGTGAAGGTTCATTGAAGCAAAGAGGTGTTGTAGATTTGTGATATCAAAACATTTAAATTATAAATTAACCCGTGGGAGTAAAAATGCCTACTCTTTTTACAGCTACAATCATATAATTTTCAGGTGTAATTGTTTTGGTTTTTCTTTCGTGTTTTTAAAATTAGCAAGGGAATACCACTTGGCGCTGGAGAATATTGTAAATCGAAAATTTCAGACAGGGTTTGCTCTTGTAATCAAGTTTGTAATGCGTGTCAGAATCGTTCTATAGGGAATATTCATGTGGATGGACTTCAGTGGCGAAGTTAGTGGCGGGGGGCGGCGGTTGGGGGTCGGGGGGGGGGGGGGGTCCACTGAATAAGAAACTGCACCAGAGATCTGTGTAAACACATTACATCAGTGTTCCTCTATAATAATTGGCACAATACTTTGACATAATATGAATGTGTTTAGTTTTTAACAGTAGCATACTACCGACAACTCAGGTCCAAGCAGCTTCAGTCACTAGATAGCCTCAGAGAGACAAAACGAACTAACCAACTAAACAAGTTTGAAAGCCTTAAAAAAAATCTCCATTCCGGTCTCCTCTACCACCAAGAATGCCAAAGAAGATTACCTTACAGTTGCCAACCTCAGTAGCCTGAACCTAACCGACGACCAGATTTCACTCCTGTCCCGAGATTTAAAGTTCACGCTCTGAATGGGAAAACTCTCTTGTGGAGCTTAACACATACCGATTCAGATCCAGTTAGTCCTTAAATGCTAAAGTTAACTGTAAATCATCCCAGCAGAAAAATCTGTCGGTTGATAACAAAGCTGAATATCAAAGAAACGCTTAGACATCGCACCTTTAAGCCTATAAGGTGTAGCTGCGGCATGGACGTATCCCCAGCATAGATTTCTTCACAGTCGAAAGGAAACCTCTCAAGGATAAACCGAGTTCCATTCACACGGCTCTGTGTTCCGACACTACTCTGTCCCAAGGTAAGCAGACACGAGATTTATGAGTTAACCTACGACTACGTGTGTGAGATTGGTATCCAAGACCTTATAGTTTGTCCCCGGTTTGTCCAGAAGAGTGTTCTACTCTGTGACGATTTGAGGTTAACCCCAAGTCCCAACGGATGGTGAAGGAATGTCAGGTGTCCTGATGGGTGGGGGGTGGTAAGGTCAATGGCACAACTACTCCTGGCCCGGCGAATGTTTGCTTGCATACCTTGGACCTAGGTTGTAGAGGACCCGGCTGCCAGCAAGATCTACAATCTAGCCTAGGCAAGATCATATAACATTGATGGTAACGCTGGCCAGACTGCGCACGCTCGCCTTGATTTAAAATTAAATTGATGTGTTTAATTTTAATTTTACGAAAATGATTTTCATTAAGGTATGTATAATGTAGATATTGTGATTTGATTGATTCCAACAATAAGGGCCCATATCTTTATGATGTTGTTTTTAAAATTCGGTCATTTCAGATAAGCAATCAATCTACGGTGCATGGGATTATAAAGGGCTCAAAATATTCATGAAAATGGACGTTTTATTTCTCATTGATACGAAATAGTTTGAATAGGCTTGGTTAGTTTAACCATATATTTATTTATATATATTTAACAAAACTCCCCAAGCAGCCCTTTTATGATTAGAAGAATAGAAGACAAAAACAAATAAAAAAGATAAAAAGAAATTCTACTGAAAACTTATCGCCTTGAAGTTTCGGACATACACGAAATTCAGGTAAATCTACGGAAGGTGTGCAAACATCGCCTTGACCTGTAATACATCTTGACCGAAGATTCTTTAAATAAGTTTTTTTTTTAAATGGACATGCATCACGGTGTATACTATATCAACAAAAAATAATCCATTTCAATTTTCAGTTCTTGGAATTCCAATTAGTAATTGGTAGTTCATTAGGTAGTATCCAATGCTTCTGCAATACAATGACACCTTTGCTAAATTCTATAATACACACCTAAATATAGTTTATATTATTCTTGCTTATATATATATATACTTACCCGCATATCCGGAGAAAGCTGCTTAAGTCTGGAACAGAATTCATCATTTCTCTGTAATTCGTCCATTTTGTTTTAATTTCTGGAAGTCGTCTGCTGACTGTTTTCTGTTTTAACACAATCTATAATTGTTAGTCGCGACACTCTCCGATAATCTCCAGATCTCACCAGAAACCCTACACTAATAGGAAAGATAGAATACAAGTTCGTGTGGCTTTGTTTTTCAGGAATTTCAAACCTCAACCTGTAATCAATACCTGTCCCTATCTCACTTTGTTGTCATTTTATCAAGCTCCATTTTTATGTGTGTCATAAACATTAACACTGCGATTTCTTCTGGTGACTAAAACTAAAACCTAATCGATAAACAGTTATAATTTATTAACACTAGCATCGCTCATCTTTTTCATCTGACAGAACCGAAGCGACAAACGAGTTGCCCACAAATTTTTTATCAATATATCTGTTTACGTATACTCATAAATAATGTGGTCGCCTTGGAGTTGTAGAACCGAGTCAAATCAATGAACGAAAGAACGTGACATTACCTAGCGTCTCCGTTACCTTGGTTATCATATTGTCTGCAGCGTAGAGTGGAACTATTACCGGAAGTGTAAAGTAGCCTTTGGTTATTATTGTAAGAGCACTCGGTAAAGAATATCTCGACAAGAATAACAGTAATGGGCTAATGTTTAACAAATAGATATATACTTACTTATCCAAAATGGTTGTTTGTTGCGAGTAAATGTAATGAATAACACACAAGGGATAGAAATAAAAAAACAAAACAATTTATGATTTTTATTTTATTAGCAAAGATATGACGCTGGGATTGGGTTATAGTTACTACCGGAATTGTCTCTGGCGGACCAGGGCTTCGCCCAGTAACCGCTCCGAAAGGAATTATATAGTTAAGTGTTGAATGCGAATCTGCGAGGAGCCGAGGTGGCTCAGTGAGTAAAACCATATACGGTCCATGGTAAAACGTTGACACGCTAACCTAGAGGTTACCAGCGTTGACCGAAGAGTTCATCACTAAGCAGACATAATGATGATGAATGTTCCGGAATTTGGAATATTATTTGTGGTATCGAAATAGAAACAGAATAATCCACGACCGTGCAGTACCACGTGGGTCTGTCCTTGGTCTAATTCTCTTTACCATGTATACCAAGAAGCTGTACAACATTTTGAACGCGACTTTTATGCAGATGATACACGGTTATATGATTCACGTATCCCTGAAACTAATCAGGAAACCGTTACATAAAACATTCAATCCAAAATCCAAGAAATTCAACTATTCATGGACTGTAATATGTTGAAACTAAATCAAGATAAGCCTGGAAAATTGGTCATTTGACCAAAGGCTCGATTATTAAAATTAACACACAGGTTCAGAAACAATCACATCTATTACCTTATGTAAAAAAAAAATGGGTGTAGTGCTTGCCATTGAACTGACTATGATAGAACAAGTTGTCAATCTCTCATTCCACCACAGCCTTAAACATACATTATGCAAGAGCTAAATCTGCCTATTGCAGGTCTTTCTTTAGGCCTGAAATATTTTCTAAATTATTAAGTAGCTTAGACATGTATTTAGCAACATTATAAAAAACGGAATCTCTTGAACAAACTAATAACCTGGCCTTAATCGGGTTCTTGTGAGTTTTGAAAGTGGCTCGGGTGTAAAGAAGTTCCGCTGATTCTGATGAAACTTATAAGACCTACATTTCACACTGTGATGCATTATAATATTTGATTTGAAATATTCGAAATAACATTAGTTTTCAAAACATGAACCGTAAGTCACTTAAGAGAATTTTTATGAAAATCTAAATGGAGATATAATCGTCAATGTTTAATGCCACATATCACACATTTGTATTCCTCTTTTTATTGAAGGCATTCAGTACAAAGCTTCTAACATTCAAAATATGAATTGTATAAGTCACTTAAGAGAATTTTTATGAAAATCTAAATGGTATTTTAATGCCACGTATCACATATTTGGAGGCATTTAGTACAAAACTTCTAACATTTTCTATTCGCCATTCATTATTCATTAGTATATTAGTTAAATTGAATCAGTTATATTGTGTTGGCAAAAAATCATAAAAAAAGGCAATATAACAATACAAGTTTCTCATTTCCACTAATTGAAGGTTTACAGTTTTTACATAATCTCTCATTAAGAGGAATGAAGGGTTTACTGTATCTCCCTTTTTCAACTTCCAGTTTATGTGAACTAAGTCTAAATTTACTCCTTTCACCCTTCTTTAGTGCACATAAATATTTTTCTACGTCATTCCCGTTTCCTTTAACAGAATTTGGATTTGACTAGGTCATTTACAATTATCAGTCTCCATCTCTTTCACAGCTAATGACATTTCGGAATTTTCGGATAATATCCATTTACCATTCTATATTTCACATCTAAAGAGAGGAAATCTGTTTAGTATGTAGTAAGTTTGACCATGGACCTTATAATATATATTATAAGGTCCATGGTTTGGCGTATAATTGGATCATTGAAATGTTTTTGAAAAATAGAGCAAAATTGACTTAGACGTCTTCTCATTTGTAGACAGGATTGAAACTATAGTTGCTATAATCGTCGTTTCAAATCCATTAATTTTCTTTTCAAGACTACCAGTATCACTTCTATCTTTTAAAACGTTACAATCACTAAAATTTTCAAAATATTCTGGGATCTGATCTTTAACATTATTGTACCAGATAAACTTAACCGGATTGATTATTGAGACAGGCAATCCTATATCAGATCCACCAAGCTACACGCGGGTCATTCATTCCAACACGATTGAAGGATTTCACGTAGACCACATGGCCTATCTATCATACCTGGCAGATATCAAAATTTTAGGGTCAAAGCATTTCGAGTAGGAGCGCTTTGAATTTAGGGTAAAAAAAACCAACAATTTTCAGTTATACCAGAAGTTGTCATTTCAAACCATTTTTACTGTATCGCGTGACTTCTCTCGCCTATAGGGGACCCCATTGACCAAGTATAATTGAAAATTGCTGCAGCATAACCATCATACATTGGGTCAATTCATTGTGTATTGTGTAACACCATTGTTTCAATGGCATTTAGTAATTCAACTGGAATATACAGGTCACAATTCTATGGAATACAATTACTGCTTATTACTGATCGACGTTTCGATTACATTTCTCTATTCATTATCAAGCAATTATACTGCTTATTACTGAGCGATAATGACTAGAGAAGACTAGACGAAAAATCGCTCAGAAATAAGCAGTAATAATTGTATTCCATAGAATTGTGACATGTATATGTGTAACACTAGTTAAATGTAGTGATACGGTTGTGTTAAACATTGGTATTTAAAGGCCTACCATAATAACACTATTTTCTTATCTGTGTTACCCAAACACTAACTTATACCCGAGCTCTTCAGACATGGAACTTAGTGGAATAGTATTGATTGATAACATTAACTTGATGAAAACCATCGTCTTGTAAAAAAAAAACCTATCACTAATCCCTTGGGGTTAAGAAAGTTTTCGGTTCAAGAGATTTAACACACTGGTGTAAATTTGGAATTCACCTACTTTTGTGGGAGCAACCCACAAACATGTATTTCTAGCTTCAAAAACATTTCTCCTAGAAGCGATATTAGGTGCAAATAGTTCGATCTGAATCTAAATCACCGCACTGTTCAGCAGTGAATATTCGCTTGGCCTCTACAATCACTGATAAGGATGAGATCGATGCGACTTGATGAGTCACAAATATTAACTTTTTTTCACCGACAAACTAAATTCTAAAACATTTTTTTTTATATATTAGAAAAATAAATAAAGACGTTTGAAGTATTTGTAGGTAAAAATTATTTCCTATTTAGTGTAAATGGGTATTAAAACGAGTACAAGGCACCATTCTGTCCGAACTAGTAACGTCTTATGTAAACAATGCACGCGCCATTGAGCCAATGATTGACGCCACATGCTGTGAAGCCACGGGTTGAAGGCGGTCATCTTTTACAGAGATATTAGAACACTTTCGTAATCCTCTGTGAAACAGATTGCTAAATCACCTGATCCGGTAACCAATACTAACTCTTCACAAATTTCATTGGTTACCGTTTGTTTGCCATATTCTGTTGGTCCACATAATATGGGCAGTGGGAATTTTACTGAAATCCAAACGATGGCCGTTAATCGTTTTACCGATGGAAATCTGTTCGTTTTACAATTATCAATTGAACTATCTGTATTATTGTTGCTACGTGTAATATTTGGGTTAAACTGACACTGGGGTTTGGTTCCGTAACTGCTAAGGAATTGTCCGACATTTCAGGTTTGGATATTCTGGAATTTTGTGTATCCGTACGTGGTATTTGGAGTTACTACTGTGAAGTTTTCAGGTTTTGATATATCTGAATTTAATGAATTTAAACCACTGCAGATTGTCACATATTTGCCCGATAACCATTGCACTTTTGGGTGTCAATCGAAACACTAAAAGTAAACAAAAATCACGTTTTTTCTACTAGTGAAAAGAATTTGCAGCCATCTTGTCACGTAGTATATATGCTGATGTCCCACATAACTCGATGGAAGGGGACGTAAAACCCCAGGAATGAAAGAACATAGGTTCGATTTTGGAGCACATCGGACTGCCACTTCTTTGGTTACGGCCCACTACCTTCATGGTTTAACCCATGGACCTAATTAAATAATAGTATGTCAGTGAGTCAACCTCATAAAAGCTTTTGACAAGATGTGTAGAAAACAGCGTTCAACCCAACGACACTGGGAAAACGTTAGAGCTGGAAAAGGGACAAGAATTAACACTGTACAGTAAACGGAAAAGATTTGGTGGTCTGCATCCATACCAGTGGTATATTTTGAAGTTATCTCCCCTTTACGATCATTATCTCTGCACGGTTCCTTTAGGGACGGTGTCTGACCGCCAGTGGCCGGACTGTGTCCTCTCACTGTTGCTGTTCATCCGTATTGAGCTGCAATATTGAAAAAAAACAAAAACGCTTTACCCCTACCTCTGTTCTAAGTTATTTTGGAATCCTTACCGACTATTTTTCACCAAGATTTTTCTTTGTTCGCCAATCGCCACAGTAGAATTTTGCGAACGTCCAACTGTCTGGGCTATGAAGACGGGCATTAGGCCTATGCCATACACTGTACAGTCTGCTATGAGAAAAAACTTACCTAGACAGCAGTGCTACAGCCTACTCTTGTATCGAATTCCTACTTTTATAAGTTCTTTTTCGTTCACACAAATTACGAGACCTCTGCAGTTTTTGTCCGGTCCGAACGACTACAATTGTTTCTTGCCAGACCCTCTTGCCCTACACCACTGACAAGCGGGAACCATGCAGGAAAATTCTGATGAAGTTTCTTATCAATGCTGGGATCGAACACGGAACCTCCAGATTAGCGAATTAATGTCTTACTCACTGAGCCACGGTGGCTCTCTAGAAGAATATAACATAAAACCAAAAATTGGTTATTATCCAAACTAAATATATAGAATCATAATATTACTAACAAAAGACCATTTTTCAATAGCTTCAGCTTGATTGGTCACAGTTTTTATTTTACTTTCTCTTTGATAGAGACACACAATAAGTTTTGGTTTTAATGTATTTATTCATAAATATATAAAAATTCATTTCAGTTTTAAAAAATTCAGTTACCATACATTACAATAAAACAACATTTCAACAAATAGGCTACCTCAATTAAATTAAGAATGTCTGTAGTAAACAATAATAAACAACAAATTACGAAGTTTGAACTAATGTACAGAGGTGCACAAACACATTTTCCAAGGGGCGGTCTTAAAAAAATCAACCACTCAGTATTAGAAAAACAATTATTACCCCACTTAGGATGAAAAAGTGGTTAGTAAATATAGCATTATGTAATTTTTAAATGACTCAGTTGAATAGTGAGTTGTTGGCCTCATTTTGGTTCGATTGAATGTGTAAGAGACTCCAGCCCATTTTCCCGAAAAAACTGGCCGACTCAGCAAAAAAATCAACCCATTTGCCTATTTGGACTAAGCTCCTACTCTCATATCGAATGCCTACCGCCAAGGGATCTTTTACGTGCATGCCAATGTGTATACAGGACCTTAGTTTTTCGTCCCATCAGAGCGGCTAGACAGCTGTTCTTGTCAGGCACTCCCCGTCCTGCATCTCTGACACAGAGAAACCATGCCAGAAAACCCCGATGAACTTTCTAGGCCAACATTGGGAGCGAACCCACAACCTCCAGACTAGCGAGCCAGTGTCTTACTCACTTAGCCATCGTGGCTCCTTAAACAAAGGCCTTACTTGAAAGATATAATAGGTTCTACTTATAAATTAGTGCATGCTGAGATTCAATTCAAACCAGTTCATTTTCTTGCACTGAAAACACAAAGGACACACTGATCAGCAGTAAATATTTGCTAGGCCGCTACAATCACTGATAGGGATGACATCAGTGCGGGTTAATTAGCTAGCAATATTTTTTTCCTTTTGAAAATTAAATTCTAGAACATTTTTTTGAAGTATTAGCAATATTAACATTTTTCCTTTTGAAAATTAAATTCCAGAACATTTTTTTGAAGTATTAGCAAAATAAATAAAGGTTTTTGAAGTATATCTGGATAAACTGTTTGGTGTAAATGGGTAGGCTATATAAAATGAGTAAGAAGGAATAATTGTGCCCGGACCAGTTCACCTTATATAAACAATGTGTATGCAACATTGAGTCAGTAATCGACACCGAGTGATGTGACGTCACATGTAAAAGACATTTAAACTTTAAAATGGTCAGTCATCTTATACAGAGGTATTGCTATTAAAATACCTGTGTGAAACAGATTGCACCAAAGACTCTAATAAACTGTATTATGTGTAATGAAAAGATCCAAATTATTCACAATTAAACTAACTGTTGGTATACTTTTACAAGTAATTACTAACACGATTTTTCACATCACTAATAAAACTACAACATTCACAGAAATTCACATCAATTGTCTGATTGAATTCACTTTTTTTTTTTATCAATCAGAAACTTTACTTCTGATAGATAAATCAATTTCTTTTAAGAGAGATTTTCCATAATCTGCCAGACTTTCAGGTAAATTGTATTCTTCACCTATTAGTATACTGTAATTATATTCCACAGCTGAAGGGCCAATAAAGGAATTTTGACTTTTTCCCTTTTTCAAAAGGTCTACAATCTTTATCCTATCTTCCCCAGTGAAAAATGATTTTCTTTGGGGAACAAATTTCAGATTTTTTGCAGCTTGAAAATCAAGAGGAGTCGGAACTGCTGTAGCTTTTTTCTGCTTGGCTTCCTAGATACAAAATAAAAACAATTAAATTATTAAAAAATGTTTTCTGCGATTTTTTTGTTTATCACACAGGAACTTTTTCTCTTTTACCAAATGTGTGATTATATCTCCCTGTTTTTAGTAATGAGTACTGTTTTCTGAATTTCAATAGGGTTCTACCATAAAGTCTCGGATTATCAGGGACTTTTAATCCCAAGCATACACTACAATATTATAAAAGATGAATCTATAAAAGAAATATCAGTCCAAAAATGTTTCAATTCTGATATGAGGAATTGAAACTTTAAACACATATAATCTTTGCTAAAATCTTTTGATAGGCCTCTTTTTGATTGATTGAATCCAATCTGGGAGATTATTATTATTATTTTTTAATTAAATAATCAATATCAGTACATTTTAGAATGAATTAAGTGGTGATCAGCCCAGTTGGAGCAGAACAGTAGGATGTTTAACCCAATTTCATTTAATTGACATTAAACATACATTATGCAAGAGTTAAATCGGTCTATTGTGCTGGTCTTTCTTTAGGCCTGAAATGTTATCTAAATTATTAATTAGACATTAATTAACTTATCCACACCATAATCAACACTCGATGTCATCGCTAGCCTGAGATGTTTATTGGATTAGGTTCCAATTTGCTGTTCGACTTCCATTCATGATTTAATCATGAAATGGATAATGGAGACTATGTTTTTTATCATACCGACTTCAGTAATGATGATCGAGGCAAGGCCAAAAATTCAATCGCTAAAATCTTGGTTCCGAGTGGATCAATTTTCAGCAAATTCCCTTTACATTAACTAGTTTTTAACTACATGTACATGTATTATAGCGAGAACTGGAGGCTCTTTATCTAATCTCCCATAATGTATCTTTAAGTCACAAAAAAACAAAAGAAGATCATCAGCTTTAAGACTACCTAAACAATCCCAGCAAGTTTGAAACAACATCTATATGTAGAGCATTTCCAAGGTTTCAAAGACAACTTCAATAAGTTTCCTTCTTATGATTAGTTTCAAAAAGAAATCTCATAAACTCTGCCCATAGTGTTTACAACAATTATGATGACCGGATGCACAGGGGTGATGACAATATACTACCACAAATGATTATCCCATAACCAGTTTGTTAACTTAACAAAGGTGACCATACATGTAGACATGTACAGTAACGCCACACAACATATTTCTTATATTTTGTTATATTTCATAGTCAAACAGTCGTTTGGCCTTAAAATGGTAACTTCAGGTTAACTGTGTAGCGTGTGCCGAATTATTTGTATTTCAGATAAATGTTTCGAGTAAGAAGTAGTAAGCTCATTTTTATAGCTGAGAAAATACAGGTTTTAGTAGGTGCATCTGTGTATATATGTATATTGACTCACTGCGTAGCTTGTGTGAAACACTATTGTTTTTGTTAAAATTATTCTTATTATTATTATTTTTTTTTTTTTTTCCACTTGAGCATATCTCAGAAACTACTTGTTGGATCAATTCGATGTCTTCGGTTTTACTGGGAAAGTGGGTGTGACTTAACAGATTAAAGCTGTTTTGAACGTTCTGCGACAATGCGAAATGTCCGAAATCGCTGAAGTTGTCTTTTTTTAAAAATATTAACAATAATCGTCGGATTTAACATTTGATACATAATAACATAGCCAGTTTAAATTTTTGATTTTCGATGAATCTTCGCAGATATTAGGCGCCAAATTTTGAAAATGTAAATTTTTACAAAAAACTTTTTTTATTTATGAATATTTTATTATGGCATTTTACCCAGGGTTAAAGGGTTGTTTGGTTGGAGCAAATTTGTCTCGATAACTTTTCTTGGCCGCTATTGGCTAATTCAGTTTATAGGTTCTAGGTTAATTATTTATTGCCCGATTTTTATAAAACAAAGTTCATATGCTCCACGGTTCAAATTCTGCTAAAAATTGATGTGACACCATTTGATGTGTTAAGTCAATTGTGACTAGTTCAAACCACTTTAGGGGGGTTGGATGGCCGAATGGTTAGCACATGCGTGCTGTATCATACTGCCTGTTATTGAGTCAACTGGTTTCGAATCCCCGGTTGTACGTGGCAAGGAGTAGGGTCGCCTGTCCAATCTCATGGGTTTTCTCCGGGTCCTCCGGTTTCCTCCCACTGCTAAATTAAACCCTATGTTAGTCCCGAAATGACCTAGTTTGTGTCGAGTGGACGTTAAACCCCATTTCTCTCTCTCTCTCAAACCACTTTAATATTTTCAGTGTCAACGATATGACGTAATTTGGGCAAAAACTGTATTTATAGCCTTCGAAACAAATAATTTATTCAAATGAGCCGTATTTGTTATTTGTTTAAAATGTTGATATTTGATTCCAATCAACAAATAGAATGAACCCCATACGATCATATTGATATCAAAAAATGGTTTCTAACTTGTTCAGTTGTGGAGAAATAGGCGATATTCAACAGGTCACTTTTCAAGGTTTTTGGTCTTTAAAAGTGTTAATTATTATTTGATTTTCATAAAATCTTCACCATGTGATACCTAATGCCATTGAAAATTTCATACAAGTAATTTAAAATTTTCATTATCACCAAAAGTAATGTTATTTTGTCAAAAACTGTATTTTTGGGCTCTAAACCAAATATTTGTTTGAAGTAAGTGATATTCATTATTCGTATAAAATTATGATATTTCATTCCAATGGACAAATAGTATGAATCAATGCGATCATATAGATATCAAAAAAGTGTTTCTAGTACCTTCCCTTACCGAGACAACAAATTTTGTCAGGATCACTTTTTAAGATTTTTCACATTTTAATTTCAGTTTATGGATTCTAAGTTAAATATTTATTGCCTGATTTGTATAAAAGAAAAGCTCATATGCCCTGTTGTGCGAATTCTCAACTTTTTTATACCAATAAAATTTTCGGTCCGCACTGGAAGTGAAATAATTTTGCCCAAAACTTCAATTATGACAGTAGAAAGGCCATTTCAAATACAAATATTAATGCTTACAAATCTAAAAGATCAAAATAAATATGCTCCTACTAAAGACGCAAAATATGTCAGGCTTATTTATTTAAATTCCAGTTTTGTATTTCTGCCATTTTGATTTACAGGTGAAAAAAAAGGTAAAAATGAGCTATTTACAATGTATTTTAAAATATTTCTTGACAACTCTCATAAACCTGTAGCATTACTCCATACGAAGAGAATGTATGTATAAATTAGTTTGTAACATGAGCAGTTGCCAAGAAACAGGCAATATTGCATGCGTCACTTTTCACTATATTTTGCCGGTAAAAGAGTCAATTATTATTCAATTTTCAATTTGTTTTTACCATTTGATGCCTAATGCCAATTTTGATTAGGTCAAACCAATTTATCATCTTCACTGTCACCGGAAATGACGTCATACACTGTATGGGCAAAAACTGTATTTTAGCCTTCAAAACAGATTTTATTCAATTGAGTCTGATTTGTAATGTTTTTAAAATTATGATATTTGATTCCAATCAACAAATAGAATGAACCCATACGATCATACATAAACCACAAACTGGTTTCTAACTTGTACGGTTGCAGAGAAATAGACGATTTTCTACATGTCACTTTTCAAGGTTTTTGGTCGATAAAAGTGTCAATTATTATTCGATTTTCATAAAATTTTCACCATGTGATGCTTTATGCCATTTATGATTTCATAAAACTAATTTAACATTTTCATTATCCCCGGATAAAACTGTATTTTTAGCTTCAAAACAAACATTTTTTTAAAAATGAGTTATATTTATTATTCATTTAATGTTATTTGATTCCAATGGAATATAGATTGGATCAAAACGAATATATAAATGTCCAAAAATTGCATCCAGCGCCTTCCCATGTCGAGAAATAAACCGTTTTGTCAAGATCACTTTTTAAGATTTTTTTCGCATTTGAATTTCCCATTAGAAAGACAGCTAACTTAGCGGTAAAGTTAGTAACAAATTTTTTTCAGGATCACTTTTTTGACATTAATACATGGTAAAAAATGTATAAATGGAATTGATATTGCTGGATTTGGTTGATTCTGCATTCATTTTATAACATGTGTGCAATGCTTGTGTAGAAATGTGTTTAACGGTTTCATTGGTACCGGAAGTAACATAAGTTCAAGGGTAACGCGGCACTGGTGAAACCAGTCATTACTGCATCACAGTTTTAGTTATAATAATAATTGTTTTCTATAGCACTGAACATTCAGGCAGCCTGGCTGTTCTGTAGTGCTGACTGCTCTATTAGACTATTAAAATAGCTTGTGGATTATTACTGGAAAATAATACCTTTAAAATCATGCAAAACTGTTTCAACACAACCCCTATTTTCTGCCAATATTCATCACAATAAAATACTCTTTTGAGAGATATGTCCTTTGTTTCACAGCAGACAGCCATAAAATCGCACCATGGGGCACCGGTTATAGCCATTTGTCCTTGCATCTGTGCTATATAATATCTGGGAATTCCTTGTAATGTATTGACGTCATGATACATCTGATAAACTGGTGCCTTAAATTCTACTAAACCTACTTGACTTTCGCCATCGAACACGTTACAACTGGGATTATAGTTTTTGCCTAAAACAATAGCATCTGGGGAAGCACCGAAATATTCTTGATAAAGTTTATCTGACGATTTTTCCTTCACAGTCCAGAATCCTGTAGAACGTGTCCTAGATCCAGTTAATAGCTGATAAGCTTCTTCAATTATTTTTTCCATAGAGAAACCATGTTGTAAATGTTTGTCTTTCTCATCTTTTAAATAAACTTCATCATCGGAAAGTAGAGATACTAAATAATCATATGGTTTTCCCTTACCCAGGCCCAAAGCATCCCCGAAATGTGATGCTGTGAGAATAACCTGATTACGTAATTCAAACCATTCTGCAGTTCTCTGTGTGACTTGATGCTCCATCTTGGGTTGATGTTAAAACTGATCTGAACACTTTAATCTTGCAATTTACGTTATCAGATTAAATTCTGCCACAAATCATGTTTCTGAAAATACAATTGATTAAACACATTATTAAAGTTTGCAATAATAAATTATGATATCCAAATCATAATAGTAATATCACACATAGATGTGATACAGAGAATGCATACATGTATTGAGATGCCCAAAAATAGACAAGGAGTAGGGTCGCCTGTCCAACCTCGTGGGTTTACTCTGGGTCCTCCGGTCCCCCCCCCCAACTGCTAAAGACCCCTATGCGCAAGCGAATTATTGAAATAAAAAGTTGAACCATGTGTTAGTCTCGAAATGACTTAGTTTGTGTTGTGTGGACGTTTAAACCTCATTTCTCTCTCTCTCCCAAAAAATAGTAATACCAAATTTATACAAATCTAGAAATATTAAGCAGAACTCCTTTGTGGTGTTTGGACTTTGATTTATTGACTTGTTATTTCAGTCAGTTATTAGAAAACACAATTATAACTCTAACATGGGCTTAATCTAAATATGTCAGATTAAACAAATTGTCACTTAAATACTCAAATCAAATAACATTATCCTTTGTTTATTTTGTGCAAACTATCCTCAATGTTAAGATCATTAGTTGCCTCCTAACCGTTGCCCATAGCTGAAGACATTGATATCCCTATTTTTAGAATTATTTTTGCAAATGAGAGTGAGTTTCTAGGCCATGACTAATTCATATTTTAAATACATTAACCATTACAGTTAATTTTTTTGAAACGAGAAAAATTCGTCAGAGGACTAAAAGCTGTTTCATATTTTAATCAACAACACTCAGGTCATTTACATTTGGAATGTATTATTTGACTTCAGTGTGCACAGTGAGAAAAAAAGATATCATTTGGTCTTAAATTTTTCAGTTTCCCCAAGGCCACTGCCTCATATTTCGATAAAGGCTCTTGGAATCTTGTTTATCACACCTAATAAATATAGCAACTAAAAAGTAATGTAATAGAATTGTCATGTGTCAAATGCCTAACCGTAACGCAGAAAAGTCTTTGTTCTAGAGCTTAGATTAGAAGGCGGCAGTTGAGGTCAGCAAGACGTTGTCATGTGTCAAATGCCTAACCGTAACGCAGAAAAGTCTTTGTTCTACAGCTTAGATTAGAAGCCGGCAGTTGAGGTCCGCAAGACGTTGTACATCAACTCTTTTGGTTTAGTCTTCAGTGTCACTTGACTGCCATATTGTCAATTCAGACTTCACTTCCATAAACCTAGCCACTTCCTTTGGTTGTAATGACTAACCGATTTGATCAACAACTTTTATTTTCCTGACCTTTTAGTTTTGTTTTTTACTTTACTATGAGAAGATGCCATGTGGCTTGTTTAATATTTAGATTTGAATATCAAGACACACGTAGGCATTTAACACAGTGACTTTCTCACTAATTTGCGTTGGGGTCAATGTTACCCCAGTACATGTACCTTCCTTAATTCCTGGAATTTAATAGACAGTCTATTGTCCTAAGTATGACAGTGTCCAAGTAGATCACACATAAATTGTAATTATTATTATTATAATATAGTGTTAATGGGGAAGCTTAGTGTGTAGGAATCACTAGGAAGCCATATACATGTATTATAATAATAATGCTTTTTAAAAAAGTCTAAATAGTAATAAGGAACACATGGTACAATTTTATGGATACACAATTACTGAGTTTAATACTAAGCAACGTTTCGACGAGGATACTCTCGTCTTTATCAAGCAAATGATCGTCCAGGCAAGATTACGCATCTAATCAATGACGTCACATATAAGCTTACACATAAATGTCATGATATAACGTCAATGAAAATAATTCTCACACGTTTTTGTTCTTTTTTCAAAACAAAATTGATAATTTGTATAGAGAAGCTCTAAAGCATCGTGCAAGGCACGGTGCAAGACCAAATGTCTTTTCCAGTAACACAGGAGCACATGAAACAGTCACAGTGTGAGACTGCTGGTTAAAACAAATTTACACCGGAACCGGTTACACTAGGCAAAACAGGCAATGCGCATGTCAACATCGAGTTATCTCCCCTATCAAATCTCGTCCAGGCGAGATTACGTATCTAATCAATGACGTCACATAGGCCTACATGGCTCAATGAAAATAATTCCCACACTTTTTGGCTCTTTTTTTTTAAACAAAATTACTCGGTAATTTATCCAATACTCATACAATTTAGATCTAAATTAAAATCAATTTGGTAAAAAAAAAATTATTTAACATTTTTTGCATCACTTGAGAAAATTAATTAATGGTTTATATTTGACAACAATCAGCTTCGCTTTACCAGGCAATGCCTGTTACATATTACAATACTCATACAATTTACATCTGAATTAAAGTACAATGTAGCTAAGTCTAGATAACTCAATATCATCCAAAGTCTTACACGCTGAAAATACGAATTATTTGTCAATTCAAATCAAGATTGATGTGATCTTACCAGGAAAAGGTAGGGTTCTGATATCCAATATTTAAGACAAAATAAACATTTTACCATTGGTAATAGTCAGTTTCAGCGTCATTGTAACAAGTGACCAGAAAGAATGAGGCTAGACAAAATTCCACAACTCATGTCAAATGGTGACGCCATATCTTATCTGGAGATAGCTACGAGAACGTAACTAAAAACGCTGAAATATACTGATGTGCTTGTTTTTAGCTACGATTTGATGCCTTTAGTTCCAAGAGGCAAACTCAATTTCTTTATTAATGTATGTACCATCTTAAAAATTTTATACTATTAGTACTTATTACACATACGCAGTCCAATCTACTCAAACAACATTCAAGTATCAGCAAATATTGACAATAAAGTAAATCAAGTGTTGTTTTTATCAAAATTGATTCGGACGTTCATAATTACGCCGTAATACCTACTGCGCAACTCTGATCAGATGGGTACTTTGATTGGCTAATGCACACAAGGCCCCGCCTTTATGTGTGTACAGACGTAAATTTAAAATGTTGGAAAAAGCGATCTACTGTCGCTTTGATTTAAAAAGAGGGGATTTGTACCCGTTTCAGGTAGGATTATATGCTTAATTGTAGTTGGGTGTGGCAGAAATATTATAAATAACAATAACCAATCGTTGTTTTGATTAAAAATATTGTCAATCTTGTTTACAAATGCCGGGTGCGAATCGCTCTCGCATTTGCTACATTGAAGGCAATGGCCTCATCTCTTATCTCGAAACACGGAGGGTTGAGAGATTAAGGTTTGTTATCAAATCTGGAGAGCATGCGCAATAGACTGGAATAACCAGATGCTAGAAATTGCTATTCGGTTGAGACTCATGTCATATTTCACTGGACATAACTGATTTGAAATTAAGAGTCCAAACGGAAACAATTGAATGTAAATCAGTTTAATTATATAATTAGATTACATTATTATCATCGTTGCGACCCATTTTGGTCAATTTCTAGGTCCCAAATATTAGTGATTTAGCTCCTTTAAAATCAATTTGGAAAAAACAAATTATTTAACATTTTTTGCATCACTTGGGCAAATTAATTATGAACGTTTTTTATTTGACAACAATCCCTGAATCTGCCTCGCTCTACTCTAGCTACTACACTAGCTAGGCTTACTCAGTCAGCCTCTTCTTTCAATGCCTATCGAAAAATCAATGAGTGTGTTGGGTAATTCGTGCTACCGAAAATATAGGACCAACATGATTTGGGTAGACGGTCATATACATGTCTGTCATACTCATAGCCTTTAAGGTATAAATTTAAGAAGAACATACATTTATAAATGGGAATGAGACACCATCACCCCACAATCAATAACGCACAATGTAGACTCTTAAATGTTGAAGGTAATAATGTGTTTCTTTCCGGTGGCGTACTTGCCTACCTAGATTAAATGACTCTTTTTATCACAATGGAGTTACTCGATTGCAGGTTCACGATATGAATTCTCTCAATCCGACCAAAAGCGGATCGCAACCAAAATACAATAACAGTAACTAAAGGATCAGATTGTTCGTATACGAAAAAAAAAGTCCACTTCGGTATAGGCCTAGTCTCTATTTGACTAGATTATCCGGTCTTTAGATTATCATAAGGACACAGCTCACCAAATATTTCTACGCCGTCATGCACCAACGAATGTAGGGCGAAAGTTATTTTTAGTCTTTCTCTCCCTTTCCCTTTTCCCCCTTTTGCATGGCGATTTTTGTTGACTTTTTGGTGTCGAATCGAAGAAAAGGGTTTGAAAATACATTTTCTGACAAGTTTTGGTGAATATTCATGATTTTGAGACGGAAGGGTACAATAGAGTTGAGAGGTTGGAGAGAGAGGGATGGGGTTTAAAGTCCACTCGACACAAACTAGGTCATTTCGGGACTAACATATGGTTTAATTTTATTTCAATAATTCGCTTGCGCTTAGGGGTCTTTAGCAGTGGGAGGAAACCGGAGGACCTGGAAAAAACCCACGAGGTTGTACAGGCGACCCTACTCCTTGTCACGTACAACCGGGGATTCGAAACCACGCCAGTTGACTCAATCCCTTATGAAAAAGTCCTATAGAAAAAGTACAGAGAGAGAGAGAGAAAAATGGGGTTTAACGTCCACTCGACACAACTAGGTCATTTCGGGACTAACACATGGTTTAATTTTATTTACATAATTCGCTTGCGCGTAGGGGTCTTTAGCAGTGGGAGGAAACCGGAGGCTCCGGAGAAAACCCACGATGTTGGACAGGCGACCCTACTCCTTGTCACGTACAACCGGGGATTCGAAACCACGCCAGTCGACTCAATGACAGACTTTATGATACAGCGCGCGCGCACGCTAACCATTCAGCCATTCAACCCCCAGAAAAAGTACAGGTTTCTATAGAAGTTTGTGGGATTCTATAGAATGCTATAGAATGCAGCAGGAAAACAAATTCATTCTGTAGTTTTTTTCACATGACTATAGATTCAAAAACATGTACTATAGTTTTGTGTAGGATTGATAGCCTTTTCCAAGTGTAATTTCCTACAGAATTCTATAGAATACTGTAAGAAACTATTGGAAAAAAAAATAAACCTACAGATTCATTGGTGCTGCTATAGTTTTCTATAGAACTAACCTGTATCCTCGAGTCATTTGAGTAATCCTTCAGTTTTCTATAGCGTTTGTGGTAAAAACTATAGTTTGCTATAAAACTAACTTGTATTCTCATGTCAGCTGGCGTTCTTATAGATTTGGTGGTAAAAACTATAGTTTTCTATAGAACTAACTTTTTGTCTCAAGTCAGTTGTGTAATCCTATAGTTTTCTATGACATTCTGACATTTTTTTCTATAGATTTTGTGGAGAAAAATATAATGCATGGAGCCTTCTATAATTTTCTGTAGAATTTATATGTATACTGTACTTAAACCATTTTAACAAATAGCCTACTATACTTTCCTATTTGATCCTGCTAGTTAAATCTTAATGACTAGCAGATTCTGTACTCCGATTCTGTCAACCGTGCATACCTGTCGACAAACTATGATTAACAGCCAATGTACTCTCTTGAAATCTGTTTGGCCATTGGCTGAATTTTAAATTCAAAAATTCAGTGTATAACAACTTAACAAGAGAATGGTGCTATTTTTTTCACAGATTCGATTAAAGATAGAAAGATAAGTATACTTTATTACTTTCTTAACAATAATATTAAATTACTTTAATTAGATAAGATTTATGTGATTTTGTTATTTATTTAACTTTATTATCTATTCTTTTCCTTATATTTCAGTTATACCAAGAAAAAAAAACTTTTCATGGTTCTGGCTGGTGAATCATCAACATAATTCAGATTTATCCATAAGAGAAAAAATAAGCTTATCAATTTAGAAGAATCCATGAGAGAAAAATAACCTTATCAATTTAGAAGAAATCATGGGCCAACTATATTTTTATTCCCAAAATAAGATTTAATAAAAAAAGTCTATAGAATTCTATAGTACCCATTCCTACAGAAAACTATAGTGGCCCAATTTTCAAACTACAGAATACTACAGTATTCATTCCTATACATAACTGTAGAATTTCCTACAGAAAGTGCAATAAAAAAACCCTATAGAATACTATAATATTTTCCTATAGAAATTTTGCCATAAATCTGTAGGAAAAACTATAAGATGTGCGCTACAGAACTTATAGAATATTTGGGGCCGTTATTTCCTACAGGCCCCCAAAATTCTGTAGAATACTAAAGAATTTTATCCTATAGAAAATGGGACACGCCCCCCGCCCCCCAAATTCTATAGTTTTTCTTTAGAATTATATACAATACTACACTGGTATTCTTAGGACTTTTTGCTAAGGGATGACAGGCTTTATAGCGCGCACGTGCTAACCATTCGGCCATCCAACCCCCCATTGAGAGGTTGGTTAATAGGTTGAAATAAATATATTGGTTGAAATGTAGGGCCGAAAATTGCATGTTTATTTATCTCTAATTCCAGCTTGTGTATCTCAATTTTTTCATTGCGAACCTCATACATGCTTTTGGACAAGAGTTTGCCACATGTTGCTCCATTTGTGGCAGAAAGCGTTCTACCCAACGAAAATTTTGGAAAAGGTTAGAGCCGGTCTAAGAGACGAGAACTAACATTAATAAAGTCAATGGGGAAACCATTAGTGATCTGTGGCCATAAACAAAGTCTAAGGGAGGTAACTAGTCCCAAAACAAGAAGTCGACGCCCATGAAATTAATTTAAGAATGCCATTTCAGAAAATCCATTTGATTCCATTAAGCCAGTTCAATATCCACATAATAAACCACATTCCCGTTTACTTATGGGCAATGGAATTTTTCGTCAAATATTGACAACGGTCCCAAGGTCTGTGGGTTAGCAGGTGCCAAGTGACCGATGGTCATTTCAACATTTGGGGTTTGAGTAGGCACACAGGACAGAAATTGTGAGGCCAAAATACACCTCGATTCCGGAGCAAAAATCACCCTTACCTTGGACTTGCTTTAAACATGCACGCCCAGTTTCGGATAAAAAAAAAATTAAATTGAAAGATTTTTTTTTTTTTTAGCTTTGCAAAGAAGAAGAAAACATTTTTTTTTAGCTTTCCAAAGAAGAAGAAAAAAATTTCTTTCAATTTCTGGCGCAATAATGAGAGCAAAATGGCGCTAAAGTCACTGTGTCAGTGGGTCAAGAGTATTGCTACTCACGTTCTCATTATCACCAAGCCCCTGGAGTCTAGCCTGAGTAGCATCAGGTTTTCCATACAAATAAACATCATAAAGCAAGTTCTACATACTAAACAATTAAGAGTCGCTTAAAGATGCGTTCCCAGAAAAGTATTTATCGGGTGGTTATTTCCAATAAAAGTATGGTAATTTTGGTATATATGGAAAGTAGAGATATCCAGTCTTGCTAGAAAAACACTGGATTCCCCGAAAAACACTTATGGAGCGTATACAGGACAAAAATGTAAGGGTTCCCCATATCAACAGCCCGACGATTAGGAATTTCTGCACGCGTGATATCAAAGGTCACACGCGAACATTGAGCGCTTGATGTACAAGTTAATAAACTTTTTGAAGAGTTAGACGTACAACACTTTCTGAGATAAAAATGACAGAAAAGACGCGGGTGGTGGATAATCCGAGAATTTAATTAGGATTCGATATTTGTAATAAATAGTAAGCTATAAAAGACAACATCGTCTTATGTATGCAATGAATTCTCCTCTGACTTCCAAGAGAGGTAAGTCACGTGACGTAAACATGACCTGGTTTGATCGAATTTTTATAGCAGGACATTCCTTCGCAATTACAATGTTTGAGACGGATTTGAAGCAAAGTTATGACAAATTAATTAGTTTGAATATGTTTTTAGTCCATATATAGGCTACCATTAAATCACCTAGTCTGTACGCGGGAACCCATCTTTAAGTCATGAATATCAATAATTACCTTCTGTCTGAAACACTTGAAATAATAAAATAAAAACACACAGATCACGCCCTGTCGCCATCTTACCAGATAAATTCGCCTGAATAACGATATAAAACTTTTAAACCATTTATACTGCGACCAAAAAGAGGAATAAAAAAATTTAAATTGTAGCCAGAAACAGAAATATAGTAATTATTTATACATATTATACCCGTAAAGTTTATATGAGAACAAGGAAGATATACACGGGGGACATTGGTAAAAGTATATTAGTAAGACCGAAGAAAAAACTATCTGTGTTTACAGATACTTGATAAAACACATATGGGATAGAAAACCGAGTGGGTTAATGTCGATATTGAAGACGGGCATACGGCATACAGTGAGTCTATCTTATTTACTGGGCCACCACATGGGATAGAGTATGGAACAAAGTGATAAATATAACCGAACTAATAAATTAATATTTTAATAATGCGCTTGTATCTTAATTGGATACGTTATTGTAAGAGCAGGTGCCAAGTTCACAAAGCATTCTCAGACTTAAGTTAAGAATTTACTCAAAAAAGTTAAACGATGTTAGACAATAACCTAATCTTATCACAAACGTTTATCTATCGAATAATTTATATTCAGATTTTATATCAAGTCCATTAAATATTGTCTAAACGCCAATCAACAAATAATACGAGGCTACTTTATTACAAAAACATCGGCGAACAAATCTAATTGATTATTGGGTAAAAAATAATTATAAACAACTGATGATAATGCACAATTCAACGCTTAGTTGTGGTGTGGAGAAATGTTTGCAGCAAAGTTCTCCCGTAACTTGTGTCGTTCGTTTGTGGAGTTTTAACACGTTCTACCTAGGGTGATGTCTTTGATCTGGTGGGCTAATAATAACATAATCAGCATTCTTAATCCAACATCTAAATGTAAATTAATTTATAACCCAATGGGTGTGCAACGCTAATCTACATCGAGATGTAAATTAATTTAAGACCCCATGTCTGCAACTTTAGTCGGATTGATTAATGGTAGATATTAACGAGACTAGAATGTGTGTTATTAATACACAAATATAGTT